AGGCATGGAAGCTTTTAGAAAACCCACACCTACAAAATCTTGCGTTCACGTTCAACAAACCGCGCACATCAAAAGAATCCATCGTATCAGCTGGTGAAAAATGTATTGTTCATCTCTACGGCAGTAAAGAAGACGGTATAACTCTCGCCAGGAAAGATTGCCGGTCACAGCGCACCTTGTGTCAAATTACAATATATGTTTTTTTTAAGATGCGAGCGACTTCCGGAATAGGATCGTGCCAATGTTGAACGAAAAGACTTTTCGTTCAAGATTGGCACGATCCTATCCTGGAAGTCGCTCATATCTTTAGAAAAAGACAGGTTGTAGACCGAGATCAGGTCTTCTGTGACCGGCAATCTTTCCTGGCGAGAGGTTTATATGGAATCTGATTGTACAGTAGTTTTTAGAATGATTTAGTTAATTCTATTTCCTATTTTCCTTATTTTAGGTTCAAGAATGGCTATCGAACAGTCTTTTGCCAACGGGGCTAAAAAAAATGGGTCCCACACTTGTTCCAAATCCGACAAGTTTGCCACCAGCACCAGACGAACATCTACATTTGATTTCTTGCGCTTGCCAGCAAGGTTGTTTTAACCGCTGTTCGTGCGGCTCTGCCAACCTACATGCGCCCATTGTAGAGGCAGGAGCTGTAATAATGTTCCCGAACCCCAGTCCGAAGACGAAGAATCCGATGGAGAAGGAACGTCGAATTAAAACAGCGAACCTGTCTTTGTTTTACGACGAAGTTTACTCAACAATTTTTAATATGGATTGTTTTGTTTAGAAAAAAATACTGTACAGTTTCCCTCAAAATTTACGCGCTAAACACTTTCCAAAAGTCTAAAACGCTCACAGTCGAAATACAAATAAGTCGGAGATGCGCCGCTATTAAGCCAACCGTATCTGGTCGATCTGGTGCACCTCTCAAGCAAGTCACGCAACGGCGAGCGGCGCGTGGGATCGCACTTAACGGTTTGTAGCTCCCCTCCTATTGGTCGGATTTCAACGCAAAGGGTACGGTTTTAAAGTTAAAACTACGCTCTACAACATTTGTTTTGGTCATTTTTCCGATATCGGACGCTAAATCGCACCTATGTCCAAACAAAAAACAAAAACAGATTTTTTCGTCAAGTTTCGCGGTCTTTTCCCACTTCCTGTCTGGCCGGAAGTTGTCACTGGCACTTGCAAAAAATATCAAAAGATAGCCTGGTTACTAACCTTTAATTTAAGCCCTCCCGCGACTCTGGGACTTGTTCCGTTCGTCCGCTAGGCTATAATTATAGTGACGTCGTGCAGATTTCAAGAGTTCGGACTTTCGAAAGCCCGAACTTCAAGGAAGCCGACATGGGAACTCTTGGGACTTTTTATATGTTATTCAGAGCATCAAATAGAACCACTGTGCCAACTTTCAGATTTACGTTATTTTTCGTAGGGTCAAAACCTAAAATGCCTGGGCTAGAACAATCGTCGACAAGAAGGTAACCATCCGTTACAAAAGGGAAAAGTTATGGGCAACTTTATATTCTCTGATATACATCTTTGTGTTAAAAATCACAATTTGATACTAATAATAAAAATAAAGACTAATAGCTGACCCTTCAAGGTACTGTTTTCATAGCAGACGTCGTGGAGAGTTGGTTGCCTATTATGACATATAATTTGATAAAACGTTCACTAAAGAGTGCAGGGTAATCTTTATTGGGATCGAGAATAGACAAAACCTTCATTTTCATGTGGAGATACTTTCTGAGCACTGTAAACCCAGCATCGTAAGAGCTTGGATGTAACATCCTCTTGAGGATGCAACATAACACGGTGTGTTGTGAACGAGTTTTAACACTTTACGTTTTTACTTTTTCGGATAATGATATAATAAAGTACCTACACCAAAGATATGCTGTTCAATATGTCAGAAAAAATGGAATTGTTGTATTACTATTTACTACATGAGTCCAATACTGCGATTTGCGATTGCTGAAAATATAATGGTATATCATTACAGATGTTTGCAGAAGTGTTACATATTTGCGTGTCGGTAAGATACCAATAAATAATCTTTTTGTTTTCATTTTAAACGGAAAATATATTAACGTTAGTGTAAAAAGTTTTAAAGGGTAATTATAATGACAGTAACTATAGCATGTTCTCTAGTTTTAAATCAAGTAGAAAGCTCTTGCCGTGATAATAATTTCATGATATTTTTAATTAATGAAAAGTGAGTGGAGTGCTGTAAATTATAATTTATGAAATACCGTTTTTTATCCTAGATTAAAGGTTTACAAAAATTCAAAGCACTACTCAAGCCCACGTCGCACAGTTGATTTTATTTAGTATGACACTTTACTTCTTATAAACAATATGGAAACATAAAGATATCATCATGATGCCTACCTAAAATTGTAATTTGACGACACTCGAAGAAAAAGGTATGATTACGGTTACAAGTTGCGCAGGGCATCAGGTTTGAGTTGTAAAAAAAATGGTGTGATAGAGGGGATTATAACGAAAGTTAACAATTGTTGATAAATACTACAGGTTCGTGGTTCTGCTTATTAAATTCTTCCAATCTTCTCTTTCTCCTTCCTTCGTGGTTAGTACGTTTGGACCTACCTTTCGTACTTTAAGATAGGAAAGAATTCAATTACTTTTTGTTAATTAATCTTATCGTAGCAAATGATACAACTTGTTTTAAACAAGCAAAACCTAAATAATTAAATAAGCTTCACTGAGACGCATTAAAATATACGCAATTCAGTTTCTTTCACTGATAATTCGAATGAAACGTAAGTAAATCATCAATGCTAAATCTATCATCGGTTCAAATTGCAAGCCCCGATTATCGGTGCAAGCAACCAAGTATAGCTATCGGCATTTTAATACTCGCGTCTCCCTGCCTAAGTCAATTCCTCGTATCACCTCTAACATGTGCGTCTTTTAACTTAATAGAATCTCGAGATAAAAATAGTGTTCAAAATACAATGTGCTCCATTATATGTACAAATTTACTTTTAACTACAATGTAGAGATTAAAAATAATGAATTTTAAATTGAAACACAATTAACGCCCGTTACAGAACTAATGCAAACATATTTTTTAAATAAATGGAGAGTTGCAAATATTTCGTTTGAAAGCGCCTTCAAGTAATTCCCTAAAATTGCATTTACTGTTTCCTCGAGAAGAACAAGAAATATCAAAAAGAATGGCATGTCTTTGAATAGCATATTGGGTATGCAGTTTCTGATGTTGCAAACATTTTCAAACGATGTAATGAAGCCGAAGTTATGACTACACCGTATATTTGTGGAGTCAACCAGATTTTCTGAACATCTGGTATCTAGAAGCGTTTTAATTGGACGTTTGGTTACTAAGAAACCGTAGTTTCTGAATTTACTTATTTGCTCTAGGAGACGAGGAGTGAGCTTTGTGTGTTTTCCTTTTTATTTTTTTTAATACCGCCGATAATGAACGTAAGTTTCGTAGTGAAATTATGTGTTTTGCAACCGTTCCTGTAAGAACATTTAAATTGTTTCTACAGCCGCCGAAAGCTCTATTGCCAGTGAAGAAGAGAATCATGCTTGTTAAGTTTGAGGTCCGTTAATTGCCCATTAATCGATTTTAATTTCTAATGGTATACGAAAAGCAGCATTAAACCGGCAAGTTCGAAAATATCAACGTCATAACAATATCGCCGTTTGACCTCACATTCCAAGGAACAAAAGGGCACTACTGGATTGTCGAATTTGGAGATTTCATTTCGCCTATTTGGATAAGTGTAATTAACCGTAACTAGTTGAATGTGTTACAATAACAGTCTCCAATTAAGTTAAGATTTCATCCGTTAGATGCGCTCTTAAAAAACTTGAATTTTTACACCAGTCCCGTATTTTTAATACATTTGGGGAGGACGTAATTGGGCTTGATCGCAAGGGCACGCCGCCAAGCAGGTATCCTCCCTTCACGAAATGGTGGAATTTTATAAAAGCTAAAGTCGTTGTTTAGTGGGAATCTTTATTCCATTTTGCTTGCCGTAAGTAAGTTAAATTATTTATCTACCTAATGTTTGCGAAACCGTACCGTCCAAACGATCTTTCTGCTTTTACTTTTTTCTACTTGTCAGCTTTTGCTTTTTTGCTTGCCCTTTTGTTTTAACCTTTCACCGCTCCGATTTAATTACGAGGTAAGCTTTTTTGTCTACTTTCTGTTTAATTAATTATAAGGGAGTGGGGAGGGAGATATCCGCCGTTTTCTGCCGCCGTTCCGCCGACTATCGCCGCCGTCATCGTCTACATATGTGACTCGTAAATTACCGCTGGATTTTTTCTTATCGTCATTAAATTTCCTTTATGCAATTATACCGCTTAATTTTTTTGTAAAGGAAAACCCAAGTAAGGAAGTTCCTCAGGATGGTAAAAAAAATTATTGAATTAAATCCATTCCAACATCTCCTGTACACGTTTAAGTTAGGGAAACATCCCTTTGGCTTCATATCCAGCTCTAAATTAAAGTACAAGGTACTGTGCTTATGTTCTGTATAACTACCTACGATGTAAATAAAGATAAGGTATGTTAACATTAAGTTTATGCACTGTTTACCTTAGAATAGGCCCCCAAAGACACCTCGTACTGGGGTCGGGTTGAATTTTATACAATACTTTGGCTAATGCCCTTGATTAAGGTAGGTACGTGTTTATTTTTGTGTAATTAAAACACATGCAAGAGTTCCATTTAAAGAAAGGGGGTAAATTTATTTCTGGCTGCTTTTCTCTGTTTTTGTTTATTGCTCTATTTGTTTAATAACTGAGGTAGTTATTCATTATTATTAAAATTGGTAAATATGTTATAATATACCTAAATAATAATTGCTCGTTCAGTGTTCTTACCTACATCTTTTGTTCTGATCTGATAGAGTGGGAATTTACTCGTTTGAACATATGGGTTCATTTTGGATTATTCTTTTACATAGTAATTTAATCACTAAATAAAGTACTAAATCACTTACTTGTCTGCTTTGGCGGTGGCGATGAAGGTGTCGTGCTAACCGAAATAAGACTGGAAACTGGTGCAACAGTTAACGTCATCTTTCCAATTCCAGGCGTCATAGATCCGTTCTGAGTTTGGGTTCCAGCGTCTGCCATTGTAGATATTCAACTGTTGACTCTTCTCCGATAATAAATAAAATTAAATCCCACGCGTGTCAATATTTAAATTGCATTGCGTGCCTGCGTTCCTGAAATTATAAAGGTGCGTTAGTTTATCTACTTTAGATATTCATGACTAAAAGTGCAATTAAATCGATCGTAAAGTAAATTCATTTAGCATAAAATAAATGATTGTGTTTGAATGTAAATATACATTTCATATTATAGGCCAATTACAAAGGTGCAATTCGTCATGTGCAGTCTTGTAGCTGTGTACAGGGTGGCCAACTAAGAATGCGAGGTCCATTGTAGAGGCTTGCGGTAAAAAGAGTTTTACTGAAACGGCCACGACCAAAACCTGGAAAATATTTTTAAGTTTGTGAAATGGCCGCTAGGGGGCTCGTGTCTGATATGTTTATTTCTCTTTGGATATCATTAAGCGATGCAGCAAAATACGCCAGTACAGCTGTTATTTCTTGTTCTTCACAGTCTACCACAGGCTTCCTTTTTTGTATTTTTGTTTGAAACATACCGCGTTATTCCTGCAAATTTGACGTTTAAACATAATCACAATAAAAACAAAAGAATAACATCAAGCGAATTAATTTTTTTATCAATTTGCTACAAGAAGTAACTAAAACATGGAATATCTTGGAAACCGTTTGAAGCAGCTTTTCACATTTTGTATCAAATTAAAGGTCTGGGAAAAAGGAAAAAATCGGTGAAGAACAAAATGGGGGGTGCCATTTAAAAAAATGAAGTTACCGAAATTTAAAAATTTAAAAGTTGAGAGCTTTGAAAAAGTGACGTAGTCTCACTTTTTTAGACGGTTTCGTATACCATAAGAAAATTCGATCTTTCCTTAATAAATCATTGAAAACTGTTTTGCAATATCTCTCACCGTTTTCGAATAATAAATTTTTAAAATGACCCCTGCAAATTCAATTTTTGACATAAAAACTTGAATATCGACGAAATCCTTGGAGCAAAGGGTCAACTATGGGAAATCGTTGTACCCCAAATTCGACGTAGAATCCGAAAATGTAGAAAAAATAGGGGGTCCCTATTTAAAATAACAAAGTTGATGGCTACTTCCGGTATTTCCGGAAGTGGTGCCATCTTGAAAATATTTTAGTTCAATTCATCATGTGTCAAAACCCTTAAAGGACTTCTCAGTTTAGTTTCATTTTCAAAGGTTCTCCATATCTTTCTAACTGACGCTCGTCAAGAATGACCCTGTATATGACATAGATAGATAGATATACATCGTGATGGTCAGCATTGCGAGCATTTACGGCAGCATTAAAAGCTTCCTTTTTTAAATCGATCCACCTTAGAACCACAAATTACATAATAAAAATAATTCCGGAAAAATTAGCTTAAAAAAAGAAATTTTTGAGGGTATAAAATTTTCTTTGGCTAAATTTTAGGTTAGGAACAAGATATCGAGATGCGGTTTTTGCGAGCCTGTTTAGGCATCATTTTTCATGAAAAAAAACCTAACCAACGCATTTAATTTTTTTGAGAAAATTAACGCTTTCTCTGGCAATGTCGACAAAAGCCCTCAAGCGGCGATATGTGAAACTAACAAAACTTTAAATATTATAATATTTGTAGCCGAAGAATAACTCTTTTCAATTAACCCAAGTTTGTTAAAATCGGCCGTTCCGAAGATACAGGGCGTTTTTTACGGAAACCTTTGAATACTCACCACCACTTCATTTTTAGAGATACAGGAAAAATTGTCAAACAAAAAAGGTTCAGATTATCGTCGTCTTCAAAGACCGGACATTTTTTTGTTAGGTTAATATAGCCGAATACATAGAAACATCACTTTTTTAGGTTCCAGATTGCAGTTACGCCCCCAAGCAGCCATTTCAGAAACTTTTAAATATTTTCCCGGTTTTTCTCGTGGCCGTTTTAGTCATAACTTTTTTATCGCAAGCCTCTACGATGGACGTAGGTTTTTAGATACAGTACCTCGCATTCTTATTTGGCCACCCTGTACCTAAAATCGTAATTTGGTAAAAAAAAATAGACACCTGTTGTTAGAAAACTTTTTGAGCTTTTCAGAGATACCGCTGTAAATTTTTCCTAATTCGATTTTAAAAAACATTGCACAGATACCACCCGCACACCTGCGCATGTGCGTTCTGCCAAAAAGCTTTTCAGCTTTTCTCTCTATGTCTATACAAATTTGATTCCAATCGTTTCAGCCGGAAATGAGAGTACAGACTGACCGACAGACCGACAGATCTGGAGTATAGTTAGCTTTGTCAAGCTAAACAAAGGAAAATGTACACGAATTATATTTTAGATGAATGCATTTTAAGCTTCATTTGGTGAAACAATTCCATAATAATCATGTTGTCATAGACATATCGGTCGTTACCGTAACGCTCAACTCATTGGATTACATAAGCGGTACTGGCTTTAATATCTTATACATATTCATTTTCGAGAATATTGCAGTTTCAGAGTTCAAATGTCCATCGAAAGGAAATCATTTTAGCCAACAACGTAGAGAACCGACAACGAAAGGTACTATCATTTCTCCTTGAACAGTAACGACTGAGTAACGATTATTTTACAAAAATCCCAATTAGTCTGCCATTAATTGATTTTGAATAATTTTTCTTCCACGTGCTTCCAAAACAAATACGACTGAGGACTGATGGTCAGTGTTCTAAAGATTTTCTCCTCTTTTGTAAATTACAAATCCTCTCCTGTTCATATCTAAAGTTTTCCAAACAATAATATCCGATTTTTTCTGTAGCACGGCGTGGATAGTAATTCTACTCGGTAGCCATGAAAAGTGAAGTGCTAGGCAAATTTTTAATTTGAGACCAAAGCGAAGCATACGGACCCAATAGTTAAAATGAATACCGTACCACCTTTCCATTTATGTACATCATCTGATATCCCTCAACATATCAACACACACTGCTCTAGAGAACGAATGCCCGTTTAGAATATGTGACATAGTTAAGATTCTTTGAGGACATCTCCTGCAATTATGGCGAAAGCCGTGAATTTTGGATGCTCCCTAAACTTCATATATGTACAAAGGTTGGTCATACGTCGCGCAGTTTTCTGTTCATTAGCTTGTGTTGTCTCAAAGGATTCTGCTAAAAGTGTGAGTGTCGTGGTCTGTTTGGAGAGAAATGGAAGAAAAACTATCCAACAAGCGATGATTTTCACATATATATTTCATTAAAAAATAATTAGCAATAAATAACAAAGCGGCTTTCTTTGTAAATGATAAATTGCAATTAAAGTCAATTTAAAATGAAGCCATACGCTTACTAGTCACAGATTGTATTCTATCTCGGCCATTACGTCTACTCCCCTTAGTAAAAGCGCCTCTTTTTAATTTATACAAAAACACGTATTTACATATATACGCACACTCACTCCTCTAGCCCTACGCTTAATATACACCTCATCGTACACTGGAAAGACCAGTAGGGTTTCATTAAGCTATTTTGGAACAGTTTCAGCAATCGACCTATACTTGCTTGGGATGTAAATGCGCAATGCAATTTGTAAATCTTTCGTAAACCAAAGTAAACAATACTGACGTCTGTGGGGAATCTATTATACTGGAATTTACGCAAAATAATTGTTGTTTGTCACAACCTACGTTTAACTCACTTCATTTTAGAGGAAGCCATATTAGAACTGTACTATTTGACGAAGTGAAAGTTAAAAATACTACCCTCGTGGTAAAAATTATATTGACTGCCCTTAATCCAACATGAAGGAAAATCCCCTATTAGTTATTTCTAGAAGCAGCGACTGTATCAGTTTTAAGACCAGATTGAAAATAAATTATATACACGGCGCCCATTATGTATGGAATATAGTAGGTATATATCTCGGTAAATATCGAATTTCTAAATTTTATTTTCCATAATAAGGCAGCATTCAGTTGTTTTTGTTTCAGAAAACAAATGAGTAACGAAAAACAATTGAATTTTTTTAAATGGCAGTGCACATTTTCATAAGGCTCATTTGATAGAAATTTTTTCTCTTTTCGAAGATATAACATGTTAGTAAGAAAATTTTTCAAAAAAATTTATTATATTGTAGGTAGGTAATTAGATCAATAACATTAAAATCAAGATATCCTACTACTACATCAAAATAAAACAGATGAACATGTACGTTTCACTAAACCTTGAAGACAAAACGAAATTAGCAGTAAAATGGTTTTCATCGCAATGAATATTCACCATTAACTGCAAGGCAGTGGCATAACCTTTTAAAAACAGCTTGAAATAAAAATTAATTTCTTCTACACGTATGCTAACGTGTTACGTCATTGAAAAGCGAAAATACATCTCTATCAATTAATGAGCCTAATGAAAGTGTGCATTGCTTTCATATCGACAAATTTTGTATAAAGTCGATGTTTACCGAAATATTTACTATATTCCATACATAATGGACACCCTGTATATTAAAAACATGGAAGGGAGATAGCAAGTAAAAAAGTTGGAAGGCTCATCATTTAAAAATTAGCTTATAGTAATTAAGGTGTGAAGGGCGTTATAACGGAAATAATGCTCGAGGCTGACAGAGTACAGCCCGAGGGCCTCGATCTAGTCATTCCTGAGGATATTCTTATCATTTTCAAGAGAGTCAAGAGGTACTACCCTCTGGTATGAGAATGAGTTCTAGGATTTCTGGAGGACAATACACTAAAATCTATTATATCAGTTACTCACTAAATGTTCATAATCAATGTCACATTGGAGAAGATTTGCAAATCAAGGACAGATGGATAAGAGGACTTACACGAAAAGCGGTGCGATACTGAGCAAGAGGCCTTTAAGAGACTTCGCAGGGTCAAGAGTAGAAGAAATATACGAGATCACAGAAAAAATTAAGAATAACGAGTGCTGTATAAAACAACAACAAACAGTGCCCTGGTGGAAACTAATAGTGACAAATACATGTACTCGTAGAAGTGTGTTTTTAAATGTACAGAACAAGAAAATCAATGCAGAAGCAGGAAGCTTACCTTAAAGTAAAGTTTCCACAATATAGTTTGTACTGCCAAAGTCAAGTAAAAATTTTTCAATTG